GGTCTCGTCGTCGTCGCCTTCCACGTTACCCCAAGCCATCAACCAGACAACACAGGGCATCTTGCGCGGGTGCGGGCTCCAGGGAAAAGGCGCCGTCATCAACTTTGTCGCGTACCTCATCGTGGGTCTCCCCCTCGGGTATGCGCTGGCCTTTCCTTGGCAACTCGACCTCCCGGGGCTCTGGATCGGCATGGTGTTTGCGTTTCTGACCGCCGCCACCATCGGGCTCGGGCTTCTCAAGTGTGCGAGCATCGACCGCATCAGCGACAAAGCGGCCGCGGTTGCCAAGACGGCACGGTCATAACTTATTGGTCTTCTCGAATGTTGTGTGTTTTGGGTTCAGGCGTTGTAGTTGTGTATATGATTGGACGCGATCAGTTGTTGCCGTCCCAGTATCTGCCGAGTCGGCACTGCCTGCAACTGCTTGTATTTGCTTCATCCAGCATGCACCCGCAGTCGGAATATACTGCCAATATAACAATAGCAAAAGCTGTACTACTCTGTTCCATATTACTAGTCCTGTTTCTCTTTGAGATGGCGCCAAAATTCCAAATCTTGGAATTAGGCAGCGCGGATTGCACCAATCGAAAGCCCTTGATTCCGTCTGTACCCGTGACAATCGATGTCGTGGAACGGCTAATCCTCACTACGAACGCGATTTTTAAAAATAGGCGTGAAATCGAAAATCGGCGAGGGCCACCGTATTTGGTTTTAGTATAGGTTGGAGGATAATGGCGAAACAATCAATGCTATTTTTATTTATTTTTAGAGAGAATCGTGAAAAATCAGACCCGTAAGAATGAATTATCTCAATGGTGCCATTTTAGTGGCGGCAGTGCTCGTTTATGGCCAAGGACCTCACACCGCTTCAACGTGCCCTCGTACTGCTCGCCGTGCGAGCGCTTGCTGACGCTCAGGGTGGCGAGCGATCTACCGGTCGAATGTCTTTTATACTCTTTGGCGTTGCATGGAAGCCTCAATGGTTGTCGGATGACTCACCACGTACAAGATGCCCCACTCACACAAGGCGAAGTTGCGCAAGATCCCAGGCGCGCTTGAGCAGCTCCGGTGCGGTTCACTCGAAGCCTGGCTCGCTGCGACGGAGGCTTTGGAAGAGCTGGAGGGCAATACCACTGTCTGATTTAAGATAATTTCAAAATCTGGCCTCGCTCATTTTGTCCAATCATATCCGTTTCTTATTTTGACCAATCCCCGAAGACCACAAATGATGGTCAGGTCACCGATTTTCCCATTGGCCTATACTTTAATCAAATACGGTGGTTTCTAGAATTTTGCCCCGAAGTCACCAACTTTGAGACCACCGTTCCCAACCAAAACAAGAGTAATGGTGCTAGACAAAAATTCTTGCAAGAGTCGAAGGACACATTATTGTATAGGAACAATCCGCGTGGCGAAATTCATCTTAGTTCTCGAGCTACGACCATCCCAAGGAGAAACAGGACTAGTAATATGGAACAGAGTAGTAAAAGGCAGAACTAGGACATCTGTCTGCTCGCCTTTTTGCCGAAGCCATTCAGCCATGCGACTGTAGCACGGTGGCTTGATCCAAGATCCACTCTACCCATTCCCAGACGGTGGCAACTCCAGCGCTGCATCCAAAATGTGTCGATTATCAGTCTAGTTTGGCGCGAGCTCGGAAGCCTTCGTCCACTCCACTTTGAGCAGGGTGGGAACTGGGCAGAGTTGGACGTGGCTCGGAAATCGCGTGACCATGGATGAGATTCGCACTGGCCACTCACGTGACGGGCGCGATCTACCCGCCCATTTTTTATTCGAATCGTATGGACCAAGCGCCGCCCAAGACCTCGCGACCGCTTTGGCGCGACGAAGCGACGCAGCTCCTGCGCTTGGCACTGCCTATCGTACGCGATGGACCCCACTCGAGCACAATGCACCAACCTCTCATAGATGGCAACGTTCATCCTCGGGTACCTCCCGGGCGTCGTGAGTCTCATTTGTGTCGGTCGAATCCACCGCCCCGACGCCAAAGAGTACCTGGCGGCCGCGTCGCTCAGCGACATGTTCTTCAACGTCACCGGGTGCGTCGCTGTTTTACCTCTCCGACGGTCCTCATTCTGCTCTACAGGTTTAGCATTGGCCTTGGCCTGGCTAGCGCCATGGACACGCTGGCGTCCCAAGCGTTTGGCGCGGGCAACATCAAGCGCATTGGCATTTTGCT